GATAGGGTGATTGTTTTCTTCGTTTAATTTGACTTTAGAATGAAAGGCGAGAGGTCATTAAAATGAAAAAAACCCCCACCTAAAACTCCGCACTGAACGAACCCGAACTGCTGATGTACAGCAGTCGATCTGCGCACGCAAGGAGGTGCTATTCCTATTCTTCTTCTGGAAAAACGAGAGAGAGAGCTTCAAAACAGACTGCAGTGCCATCTGAAGCAAAGAGCGAACTTTCGGCGGACACTTTTTTTGGCTGAGTGGCCGATCTTGTTATGTACTATCTTTGTTTTAATGCAATGCTAACAAGTCTATGCCAGCAAACAACTCCAAGTCTTTAGTTTGTTTTGATTGCCAAGTTTATAATCAACGTCATCTCTATTCTCTTTTTTGGGGGGGGGGTATTTTGCGGAGAGAGGCATACGGATAACACAACATGTAAATTAGCGTGGCTAAAGATGCCGTAAAGGAAAACAATCTAGATTTTTCCCAATCCTCACTCTGGCTCCGAAGGGCATGAACAGGTTTTCACGTGAGACGCTTGAATGGATCTTCATGTCAAATTGGCTGGTAATTTGAACTTTGTCGATCCGGATCTATTTCGACAGCTGATATCAGTATGATATAAAAAATTTATAACTCTCCTTATGGTGTTAGACCATGATTTATCCTACTTGTGAAATTGCCAGTTGTAATCACTCTTTGAAACTCGTGATTACAACTTGGCAACTTACTTACTTCATCCGTCCTCTTGTACCTCTAGGGCTTCGAGGGGGAAAAGAGCTTCCTGTCTCTAGCGAGTTTGATGTCCTGGCTGGGTGGGATATTGAATGTTCTCAGGGTATCTTTCGCACCCTGGATCCAGGTCTTTCTTGGTCTTCCTCTTGATTTGTACCCTGGCACTTTCCTGTTGTAGGCTTTACAGGCATGATGGTTAGGTGCCATACGTGTGAGATGTCCAAACCACCTGATTGTTTGCCTTCGGATGTAGTGGAGGACAGGTGTTGTTCTCACAATTTCTCTAATCTTGTTGTTTCTGTCCCGTCTGGTTTTGTTGACGGCTCTCCTTAGACATCCCATCGCAGGTGGTTATCTTACGTTCCAGACTTTTGGTCAGGGTCCATGTCTGGCCCTGGTAGGTCAAGGTGGGGATGAAGATTGAGTTAATGAGCTTGGCTTTGGTCTCAATGGGGATGTTAGGATGTTTGAGGAGTGGGGCAAGCTGGTAGCTGACGTTGTTAGCCTTTTGTACTCTCGTCTCAATTTCTCTGTTGAGACGTCCATCTTCCGAACTTGGCAACTCGAGAGATAAATCGTGATCTAACATCACAACGCAGGTAATACTAATACATTATTTTGTAAATTATGTTTTACGCCTCCATCAACAGAACAATTTAGATAATTAACGGGTCGAGTTACATCCAGACTCATCTGTCAGGACCAAGCCAGACACAATTTCCCAGCAAGCAGCGGGAGATACTCGATTAATTATAAAAAATAAAAAAATAAATCTAGGGAATCAAACTTACGTTATCCGAGTGCAAAGACAAATACCCTCATTGCTGCACCACATTCATCTCAGGTTTTGTCTCATATACTAAACAAAGGCTTTACTGAAGCTGTCATGTGTATTTACGGAAGACATTAATTTCAAAGACAATGCTCTGTTTTGTTTTGTTTTACGGCAAGCTTTTATTTCGTTCAGTGAACGTGAAAAGGAATAAGTTTAGATAAAAAATATAAAAAACCCAATGATTTTTTACATAGCAATATGAACATGACAAAAATATGCATACACACTCTAATGAGTTGCAAAATCATACTTACTTTAAAATGTTAATATTTCGGTAAAGTCTTCCAAATCTTACCTGTATGTTCACTTTCCACTTATACCAAATATCGATAACACATATGGTAATAATACTTATAACGATGGTTATAATAATAATACAGATAAAAAGAGAGTGGTGATGATCAACAGCAGCAGCAGCAGCTGCAGGAGGAGGATGAGGAAGAGGGAAAAGCGAGAGAGGAGGGGGAAATAGAGGAGGAAAAATGGAGGAGGAGGAGGGAGGAGGAGGGGGAGAAGGAGGGAAAGAGAAAGGGGAGAATAGCATTTTCATAATCATTATCGTGCTTACAAAATAATATTGTATAAAATAGCATACCACGTATTTCCATCCGTTTTAAAAGTTATGAAGGACAAAATTACAATCTTCTGATAACTTGTTGAACTCTTTGGACACTTACGTTTAGTAGTATTGAGGAAAAATCTGATACAGTTAAGTCGCCGTTCTCATTGTTGATACATAATCATACATTTATAATGGATACATTGTCTTGTCCAAATGTGATGGTGAGAAAGATAATAAAATTGGACTGTTTGAGAAATGCATCTTGCACTGACAGAGTAAACTTTGATGGGTAAAATCAAAATTTAAGTCTTAAATGTTTACATTCATGCTTACATTTAACTTAATGCTGTTTGCTCATTGTGTCATATTTCACTCTGATGTTTATCGAGGAGTCAGTTTCAGCCATTGGTCATATTATAAGATATGCAAATGCTGGTGCGTTTTGCATTAAAAACGCCTGGCGAGTATATAACCACTATTTACTATTGTGGCGTCTGAGATTTTAGGAATGTTTTAATTATTTACGCACTTAGACTGTGGACATGTGTCTAATACATCAACATGTATGTATTATTGGTAACAAAGATGCGAACGATAAAGTGCGCTCATATGACCTTATGTAGTTGCGAGCGCCGTAAATCACTTACCACAAAAAAACCCCGATAAAGTAACTTCAAATAGATACTGTAGGAGGAGAGCTTTCATTTTTAAACACGTGTAACAAGCAAAGTCATGACATACTTTCAACAAAAACGATAATAAAAAAGACCTGTTTTTTTTTTTACAAGTGGTTGAAATGGATCTGTCGCTTTGGAAATAACTCACATTATGTCTAGTAATGGGATAAACGTCAACATCCTCATTATGAGTATTCATGACCAATGTAACAACAAAAACGACCGTAGTAAAAAGTCAAACTTTACCAAGCACAGATTCTAATCTCGTGTACAGGTTTCTATCATCAGCATCAGTATTTCTATTGGTAACTTACACAAGAGAATTGGTTATCTGACTAACACGGCCAGCTAATAATAAGAAAAGCATAACGATTGTCATAATTAATATTATACGATGACACCCAGAAACGTTCTTGGCTTCTTTGGAAGTATACAGGTTTAGTTCCTGTGGGTTTTTTTTCGTTTTTTATTCAAACTCTGAAATGGTCAAATAATAATTTGGTTTCTTTTTTTGCAAGATCTCATTTTAATCTACACATTCTGCAATAGGCCTATTTGTATGGGAAATTCGAAGAGGATTTTTAAAGAATCACTGTTCCAAACGTTTTATTTTTAACAATTGGTCAATTTTGATAAACACATAAACATGGCATCAAATACAGTAGGCTACATCAAAAAGCTCACATCGAGGGCTGTGTACATGGATCAAAAAGACAGTTTCAGTCGTCAGACTATTTGTGGGGTCATGCGATGTTATAATATGTACAATAAAACCTTATAGTGTCCAGTTTGTCTTCTTTGTTACATTACATTATTGTAACCTCGTCGAGTGTGTCCATTCAATCAAGGGAAAACACTGGGGAGGGTTTTTTTTTGTGTTAAAAATTTTTTTTTTTTAGGGAGGTTGTTTTATTTTTTAGTTAAACTTTACTAGAATTACATTGTGAATACCCCTTCCGGTTAATGTTTCTTCAGTGGGAATTATCTATGCTATCCCAGCTAAAAGGTCATGAATTCCACATGAGGTCTGATCCGAACGGGCACCATGATGCAGTGTTGCAGACTCTTAATCGCTCGTGCTTTCTGCTGAAGCGCTTTGCAAATCGCCATGACAACAGATTTCCGCAGAAGCAGCAAGGTCAAGGACACCACCTTGACCTTCTAGGGGCTCTTGGTCAACACCAAGGTCATAATCATTCAAATCAAGGTCAATGGGATAAAAGTCGAGATTCGGATCAATCCTATTGTTAGCGTTACCGTCTCCCGAACTCAGAATAATTTCAGCACCGTTATCGTCAGGATAATGACTATCAGAAACGGCCTCCGGGGAAGTCAGAGGATGCTCATCTACGTCGTCTGGAATGCTGTCTAGGTGGTGGTCGCCTGCCTCACTCACGGCCGAGAAGTCGTCGCTTGCCATGGAGACGGCCGAGTGGTTGCTGGTCAACGAGATGCTCGACAGGTTGCTGGCGTTACGCTCCAATTGTCTTCGTGTCTTCAGCTCAAGGTATTGGCGGCAGAGGGTGTGGATGTTCTTGTACTGGGCCTGGGTAGACGGTTTGATTGTTATTAAAAGAGTTAA